TTGCCAGGTCCAGGAGCCTGCCTAGTTCAGGAGCTTGCCTGGTCTAGGAGCTTGCCTAGTCAAGGAGCTTGCCTGGTCCAGGTTCGTGCCTGGTCCACGAGCTTGCCTGGTCCAAGCACTTGCCTGGTCTAAGAGCTTGCATGGTCCAGGAGCGTGCCTGGTCCAAGAGCTTGCCCGGTCCAGGAGCTATCCTGGTCCAGGAGCTTGCCTGGTCTAGGAGATTGCCTCGTCCAAGAGCTTGACTGTGCCAGGAGTGTGCTTGGTCCACGAGCGTGCGTGGTCCACGAGCGTGCGTGGTCCAGGAGCTTGCTTGGTCCAGGAGCTTGCCTGGTCCAAGAGCTTGCCTGGTCGAGGAGCTTGCCTGGTCCACGAGCTTGCCTGGTCCAGGAGCATGCCTGGTCTACGAGCGAGCCTGGTCCAGGAGCTTGCCTGGTCAAGGAGCTTGTCTGGTCTAGGAGCTTGCCTGGTCCACGAGCCTGCCTGGTCCAAGAGCTTGCCAGGTCCAGGAGCGTGCATGGTCCACGAGCATGCCTCGTCTTGGAGCTTGCCTGGTCTAGGACCTTGCCTGGTCCAAGAGCTTGCCTGGTTTAGGAGCGTGCCTGGTTTGAGAGCTTGCGTAGTCCATGAGCTTGCATGGTCCAAGAGCTTGCCTGGTCCAGGAGCTTGCCTGGTCCAGGAGCTTGCCTCGTCCAAGAGCTTGCCTGGTCCAAGAGCTTGCGAGGTCCAGGAGCTTGCCTGGTCCAGAAGCTTGCCTGGTCTAGGAGCTTGCCTGGTCCAGGAGCTTCCTTGGTCCAGGAGCGTGCCTGGTCCACGAGTTTGCCTGGTCCAGAAACTTGCCTGGTCCAGGAGCTTGCGTGGTCCAATAGCTTGCTTGGTCCAGAAGCCTGCCTGGTCCAAGAGCTTGCCTGGTCCAGGAGCGTGCCTGGTCCAAGAGCTTGCGTGATCCAGGAGCTTGTGTGGTCGAGGAGCTTGCCTGGTCCAAGAGCTTGCCTGGTCCAAGAGCTTGCGTGGTCCAGGAGCTTGCTTGGTCCAAGAGCTTGCCTGGTCTAGGAGCTTGCCTTGTCCAGGAGCTTGCTTGGTCCATAAGCGTGCCTGGTCCACGAGTTTGCCTGGTCCAGAAGCTTGCCTTGTCCAGGAACTTGCCTGGTCTAGGAGCTTGCATGGTCCAGGAGCGTGCCTGGTCCAGGAGCTTGCCTAGTCCAGGAGCTATCCTGGTCCAGGAGCTTTCCTGGTCCAGGAGCTTGCCTGGTCCAGCAGCTTGCCTGTTCCACGAGCATTCCTGGTCCAGGACCTTGCCTTGTCTAGGAGCTTTCTTGGTCCGTTAGCTTGCTTGGTCCCAGAGCTTCCCTAGTCCAGGAGATTTCCTGGTCCAAGAGCTGACCTGGTCCAGGAGCTTGCCTGGTCAAGGAGCTTGTCTGGTCTAGGAGCTTGCCTGGTCCACGAGCCTGCCTGGTCCAAGAGCTTGCCAGGTCTAGGAGCGTGCATGGTGCACGAGCGTGCCTGGTCCAGGAGCTTGCCTGGTCCAGGAGCTTGCCTCGTCTAGGAGCTTGCCTGGTCCACGAGCCTGCCTGGTCCAAGAGCTTGCCAGGTCCAGGAGCGTGCATGGTCCACGAGCATGCCTCGTCTTGGAGCTTGCCTGGTCTAGGACCTTGCCTGGTCCAAGAGCTTGCCTGGTTTAGGAGCGTGCCTGGTTTGAGAGCTTGCGTAGTCCATGAGCTTGCATGGTCCAAGAGCTTGCCTGGTCCAGGAGCTTGCCTGGTCCAGGAGCTTGCCTCGTCCAAGAGCTTGCCTGGTCCAAGAGCTTGCGAGGTCCAGGAGCTTGCCTGGTCCAGAAGCTTGCCTGGTCTAGGAGCTTGCCTGGTCCAGGAGCTTCCTTGGTCCAGGAGCGTGCCTGGTCCACGAGTTTGCCTGGTCCAGAAACTTGCCTGGTCCAGGAGCTTGCGTGGTCCAATAGCTTGCTTGGTCCAGAAGCCTGCCTGGTCCAAGAGCTTGCCTGGTCCAGGAGCGTGCCTGGTCCAAGAGCTTGCGTGATCCAGGAGCTTGTGTGGTCGAGGAGCTTGCCTGGTCCAAGAGCTTGCCTGGTCCAAGAGCTTGCGTGGTCCAGGAGCTTGCTTGGTCCAAGAGCTTGCCTGGTCTAGGAGCTTGCCTTGTCCAGGAGCTTGCTTGGTCCATAAGCGTGCCTGGTCCACGAGTTTGCCTGGTCCAGAAGCTTGCCTTGTCCAGGAACTTGCCTGGTCTAGGAGCTTGCATGGTCCAGGAGCGTGCCTGGTCCAGGAGCTTGCCTAGTCCAGGAGCTATCCTGGTCCAGGAGCTTTCCTGATCCAGGAGCTTGCCTGGTCCAGCAGCTTGCCTGTTCCACGAGCATTCCTGGTCCAGGACCTTGCCTTGTCTAGGAGCTTTCTTGGTCCGTTAGCTTGCTTGGTCCCAGAGCTTCCCTAGTCCAGGAGATTTCCTGGTCCAAGAGCTGACCTGGTCCAGGAGCTTGCCTGGTCAAGGAGCTTGTCTGGTCTAGGAGCTTGCCTGGTCCACGAGCCTGCCTGGTCCAAGAGCTTGCCAGGTCTAGGAGCGTGCATGGTGCACGAGCGTGCCTGGTCCAGGAGCTTGCCTGGTCCAGGAGCTTGCCTCGTCCAGGAGCTTGCCTGGTCCACGAGCCTGCCTGGTCCAAGAGCTTGCCTGGTCCAGGAGCGTGCATGGTCCACGAGCGTGCCTCGTCTTGGAGCTTGCCTGGTCTAGGACCTTGCCTGGTCCAAGAGCTTGCCTGGTTTAGGAGCGTGCCTGGTCCGAGAGCTTGCGTAGTCCATGAGCTTGCATGGTCCAAGAGCTTGCCTGGTCCAGGAGCTTGCCTGGTCCAGGAGCTTGCCTCGTCCAAGAGCTTGCCTCGTCCAAGAGCTTGCGAGGTCCAGGAGCTTGCCTGGTCCAGAAGCTTGCCTGGTCTAGGAGCTTGCCTGGTCCAGGAGCTTCCTTGGTCCAAGAGCGTGCCTGGTCCACGAGTTTGCCTGGTCCAGAAACTTGCCTGGTCCAGGAGCTTGCCTGGTCTAGGAGCTTGCATGGTCCAAGAGCGTGCCTGGTCCAGGAGCTTGCCTGGTCGAGGAGCTATCCAAGTCCAGGAGCTTGCCTGGTCTACTAGCTTGCTTGGTCCAGGAGCTTGCCTTTTCCACGAGCGTGCCTCGTCTAGGAGCTTGCCTTGTCCAGGAGCTTTCTTGGTCCGTGAGCTTGCCGGGTCCAGAAGTCTGCCTGGTTCAAGAGCTTGCTTGGTCCAAGAGCTTGCCTGGTCCAAGAACTTGCCTGGTCTAGGAGCTTGCCTGGTCCAGGAGCTTGCCTGGTCTAGGAGCTTGCCTGGTCCAAGAGCTTGGGTGGTCCAGGAGATTGCCTGGTCTAGGATCTTGCCTGGTCCAGGAGCTTGCCTGGTCCTAAAGCGTGCCTGGTCTAGGAGTTTGCCTGGTCCAGAAGCTTGCCTGGTCAAGGAGCTTGCATGGTCCAGGAGCGTTCTTGGTCCAGGAGCTTGCCTGGTCCAGGAGCTATCCTGGTCCAGGAGCTTACCTGGTCCAAGAGCTTGCCTGGTCCAGGAGCTTGCCTGTTCGAGGAGCGTGCCTGGTCCAAGAGCTTGCCTGGTCCATGAACTTGCCTGGTCCAGGAGCTTGCCTAGTCAAGGAGCTTGCCTGGTGAAGGAGCTTGCCTGGTCCAAGAGCTTGCCTAGTTCAGGAGCTTGCCTGGTCTAGGAGCTTGCCAAGTCCAGGAGCTTGTCTGGTCCAGGTTCGTGCCTGGTCCACGAGTTTGCTTGGTCCAGAAGCTTGCCTGGTCCAGGAGCTTGCCTGGTCTACGAGCTTGCATGGTCCAAGAGCGTGCCTGGTCGAAGAGCTTGCCTGGTCCAGGAGCTATCCTGGTCTAGGAGCTTGCCTGGTCCAGGAGATTGCCTGGTCCAAGAGCTTGACTGTTCCAGGAGCGTGCCTGGTCCAAGAGCTTGCCTAGTCCAAGAGTGTGCATGGTCCACTAGCATGCCTAGTCCAGGAGCTTGCCTGGTCAAGGAGCTTGTGTGGTCCAGGAGCTTGCATGGTCCACGAGCCTGCTTGGTCCAAGAGCTTGCCTGGTCCAGGAGCGTGCATGGTCCACGAGCGTGCCTGGTCCAGGAGCTTGCCTGGTTCAGGAGCTTGCCTAGTCAAGGAGCTTGCCTAGTCCAGGAGCTTGCTTGGTGCAGGAGCTTGCCTGGTCCACGAGCCTGCCTGGTCCAAGAGCTTGCCTGATTCAGGAGCGTGCATGGTCCACGAGCGTGCCTGGTCTGAGAGCTTACGTAGTCCAGGAGCTTGCATGGTCTAAGAGCTTGCGTGGTCAAGGAGCTTGCCTGGTCCAGGAGCTTGCCTCGTCCAAGAGCTTGCCTGGTCCAAGAGCTTGCGAGGTCCAAGAGCTTGCGTGGTCCAGGAGCTTGCCTGGTCTTGGAGCTCGCCTGGTCCAGGAGCTTGCCTGGTCGAGGAGCGTGCCTGGTCCAGGAGCTTGCCTTTCCCACGACCGTGCCTGGTCCAAGGGCTTGCCTGGTCCAAGATCTTGCGTGGTCCAGGAGCTTGCCTGGTCCAAGAGCTTGCCTGGTCTAGGAGCTTGCCTGGTCCAAGAGCTTGCCTGGTCTAGGAGCTTGCCTGGTCCAAGAGCTTGGGTGGTCCGAGAGCTTGCCTGGTCTAGGAGCATGCCTGGTCCAGGAGCTTGCCTGGTCCACGAGCGTGCCTGGTCAACGAGTTTGCGTGGTCCATGACTTGCCTGCTCCAGGAGCTTGCCTAGTCAAGGAGCTTGCCTAGTCCAGGAGCTTGCCTGGTCCAGGAGCTTGCCTGGTCAGGAGCTTGCCTGGTCTACGAGCTTGCCTGGTCCATGAGCTTGCCTGGTCCAGGTTCGTGCCTTGTCCACGAGTTTGCCTGGTCAAGAAGCTTGCCTGGTCGAGGAGCTTGCCTTGTCTAAGAGCTTGCATGGTCCAGGAGCGTGCCTGGTCCAAGAGCTTGCCTAGTCCAAGAGCGTGCATGGTCCACAAGCGTGCCTGGTCCAGGAGCTTGCCTGGTCCAGGAGCTTGCGTGGTCAAGGAGCTTGCCTCGTCCAGGAGCTTGCCTGGTCTAGGAGCTTGCCTGGTCCACGAGCCTGCCTGGTCCAAGAGCTTGCCTAATCCAGGAGCGTGCACGGTCCACGAGCGTGCTTGGTCCAGGAGTTTGCCTGGTCCAGGAGCTTGCGTGGTCCAATAGCTTGCTTGGTCCAGAAGCCTGCCTGGTCCAAGAGCTTGCCTGGTCCAGGAGCGTGCCTGGTCCAAGAGCTTGCGTGATCCAGGAGCTTGTGTGGTCGAGGAGCTTGCCTGGTCCAAGAGCTTGCCTGGTCCAAGTGCTTGCGTGGTCCAGGAGCTTGCGTGGACGTGGGCGTGGACGTGGACGTGGACGTGGACGTTGACGTGGACGTGGTCCAGGAGCTTGCGTGGACGTGGGCGTGGACGTGGACGTGGACGTGGACATGGACGTGGACATGGACGTGGACGTGGACGTGGACGTGGACGTGGAGGACGTGGACGTGGACGAGGATGTGGACGTGGACGTGGACGTGGAGGACGTGGACGTGGACATGGACGTGGACTTGGACGTGGACATGGACGTGGACGTGGAAATGGACGTGGACGTGGACATGGACGTGGACGTGGACATGGACGTGGACGTGGACGTGGACGTGGACATGGCCTGGACGTGGACGTGGACGTGGACATGGACGTGGACGTGGACGTGGACGTGGACGTGGACGTGGACGTGGACGTGGACGTGGACGTGGACATGGACGTGGACGTGGACGTGGACGTGGACGTGGACATGGACGTGGACATGGACGTGGACATGGACGTGGACGTGGAGGTGGACGTGGGCGTGGACGTGGACATGGACGTGGGCGTTGACGTGGACGTCGACGTGGACGTGGACGTGGACATGGACGTGGACGTGGACGTGGACGTGGTCGTGGACATGGACGTGGGCGTTGACGTGGACATGGTCGTGGACGTGGACGTGGACGTGGACATGGTCGTGGACATGGACGTGGACATGGACGTGGACGTGGACGTGGACGTGGAGGTGGACATGGACGTTGACATGGACGTGGACGTGGACGTGGACATGGACGTGGACATGGACGTGGACATGGACATGGACGTGGACGTGGAGGTGGACGTGGACGTGGACGTGGACGTGGACATGGTCGTGGACGTGGACGTGGACGTGGACGTGGACATGGACGTGGACGTGGACGTGGACGTGGACATGGACGTGGACATGGACGTGGACATGGACGTGGACGTGGACGTGGAGGTGGACATGGACGTGGACATGGACGTGGACGTGGACGTGGACATGGACGTGGACATGGTTGTGGACATGGACATGGACGTGGACGTGGACGTGGACATGGTCGTGGACGTGGACGTGGACGTGGACATGGACGTGGACATGGACGTGGACATGGACGTGGATGTGGACGTGCACGTGGACGTGGACGTGAACGTGGACATGGACATGGACGTGGACGTGGACGTGGACGTGGACGTGGACAGGGACGTGGACATGGACGTGGACGTGGACGTGGACGTGGACATGGACGTGGGCGTTGACGTGGACGTGGACGTGGTCGTGGAGGTGGACATGGACGTGGACGTGGACGTGGACGTGGAGGTGGACATGGACGTGGACGAGGACGTGGAGGTGGACATGGACGTGGACGTGGACATGGACTTGGACATGGACGTGGACGTGGACTTGGACGTGGACGTGGACTTGGACATGGACGTGGACGTGGACTTGGAGGTGGACATGGAGGTGGACGTGGAGGTGGACATGGACGTGGACGTGGAGGTGGACGTGGACGTGGACTTGGACATGGACGTGGACGTGGACTTGGACGTGGACATGGAGGTGGACGTGGAGGTGGACATGGACGTGGACGTGGACGTGGACATGGACATGGATGTGGACATGGACGTGGACATGGACGTGGACGTGGACATGGACGTGGACGTGGACGTGGACGTAGACGTGGACGTGGACGTGGACGTGGACGTGGACGATGACGTGGACGTGGACGTGGAGGTGGACGTGGACGTGGACGTGGACGTGGACATGGACGTGGACGTGGACATGGGCGTGGACATGGACGTGGACGTGGACGTGGACGTGGACGTGGACGTGGACGTGGACGTGGTCGTGGACGTGGACGTGGACGTGGACGTGGACGTGGAGGACGTGGACGTGGACGTGGACGTGGACATGGACGTGGACGTGGACATGGACGTGGACATGGACGTGGACGTGGACGTGGACGTGGACGTGGACGTGGACGTGGACATGGACGTGGACGTGGAGGACGTGGACGTGGACGTGGACGTGGACGTGGAGGACGTGGACGTGGACGAGGACGTGGACATGGACGTGGACGTGGACGTAGAGGACGTGGACGTGGACATGGACGTGGACTTGGACGTGGACATGGACGTGGACGTGGAAATGGACGTGGACGTGGACATGGACGTGGACGTGGACGTGGACGTGGACGTGGACGTGGACGTGGACGTGGACCTGGACGTGGACGTGGCCTGGACGTGGACGTGGACGTGGACGTGGACGTGGTCGTGGACGTGGACGTGGACGTGGACATGGACGTGGACATGGACGTGGACATGGACTTGGACATGGACGTGGACGTGGACTTGGACGTGGACATGGAGGTGGACGTGGAGGTGGACATGGACGTGGACGTGGACGTGGACGTGGACGTGGACGTGAACGTGGACGTGGACGTGGACGTGGACGTGGACATGGACATGGACGTGGACGTGGACGTGAACGTGGACGTGGTCATGGACGTCGACGTCGACGTGGACGTGGACGTGGACGTGGACGTGGTCATGGACGTGGACGTGGACGTGGACGTGGACGTGGAGGTGGACATGGTCGTGGACGTGGACGTGGACGTGGACGTGGACGTGGTCATGGACGTGGACGTGGACGTGGATGTGGACGTGGACATGGACGTGGACGTGGACATGAACATGGACGTGGACGTGGACGTGGACGTGAACGTGGACGTGGACGTGGACGTGGACGTGGACGTGGACATGGACATGGACGTGGACGTGGACGTGGACGTGAAGGTGGACGTGGTCATGGACGTCGACGTGGACGTGGACGTGGACGTGGACATGGACGTGGACGTGGACGTGGTCATGGACGTGGACATGGACGTGGACGTGGACGTGGACGTGGAGGTGGACATGGTCGTGGACGTGGACGTGGACGTGGACGTGGACATGGACGTGGACGTGGACGTGGACGTGGACGTGGACGTGGACATGGACATGGACGTGGACGTGGACGTGGACGTGGTCATGGACGTGGACGTGGACGTGGTCATGGACGTGGACGTGGACTTGGACGTGGACGTGGACATGGACATGGACATGGACGTGGACGTGGACATGGACGTGGACATGGACGTGGACGTGGACGTGGACGTGGACATGGACGTGGACGTGGACATGGACATGGACGTGGAAGTGGACGTGGACGTGAACGTGGACGTGGACGTGGACATGGACGTGGACGTGGACGTGGACATGGACATGGACGTGGACGTGGACGTGGACGTGAACGTGGACGTGGTCATGGACGTGGACGTGGACGTGGACGTGGACGTGGACATGGACGTGGACGTGGACGTGGTCATGGACGTGGACGTGGACGTGGACGTGGACGTGGACGTGGAGGTGGACATGGTCGTGGACGTAGAAGTGGACGTGGACGTGGACGTGGACGTGGACGTGGACGTGGACGTGGTCATGGACGTGGACGTGGATGTGGACGTGGTCATGGACGTGGACGTGGACGTGGACGTGGACATGGACGTGGACGTGGACGTGGACGTGGACGTGGACGTGGTCATGGACGTGGACGTGGACGTGGTCATGGACGTGGACGTGGACTTGGACGTGGACGTGGACATGGACATGGACATGGACGTGGACGTGGACGTGGACATGGACGTGGACATGGACGTGGACGTGGACGTGGACGTGGACGTGGACATGGACGTGGACGTGGACATGGACATGGACGTGGACGTGGACGTGGACGTGAACCTAGACGTGGACGTGGACATGGACATGGACGTGGACGTGGACGTGGACATGGACATGGACGTGGACGTGGACGTGGACGTGAACGTGGACGTGGTCATGGACGTCGACGTGGACGTGGACGTGGACATGGACGTGGACGTGGACGTGGTCATGGACGTGGACGTGGACGTGGACGTGGACGTGGACGTGGAGGTGGACATGGTCGTGGACGTAGACGTGGACGTGGACGTGGACGTGGACGTGGACGTGGTCATGGACGTGGACGTGGACGTGGATGTGGACGTGGTCATCGACGTGGACGTGGACGTGGACGTGGACGTGGACGTGGACATGGACGTGGACATGGACGTGGACGTGGACGTGGACATGGACTTGGATGTGGACGTGGATGGGGACGTGGACGTGGAGGACGTGGACGTGGACGTGGACGTGGACGTGGAGGACTTGGACGTGGACATGGACGTGGACGTGGACGTGGACATGGACGTGGACGTCGACATGGACGTGGACATGGACGTGGACGTGGACGTGGACTTGGACGTGGACTTGGACATGGACCTGGACGTGGATGTGGACGTGGACGTGGACGTGGACATGGACGTGGACGTGGACGTGGACGTGGACATGGACATGGACGTGGACGTGGACATGGACGTGGAGGCGGACGTGGACGTGGAGGTGGACATGGATGTGGACATGGACGTGGACATGGACGTGGACGTGGACATGGACGTGGACGTGGACATGGACATGGACGTGGACATGGACGTGGACGTGGACATGGACGTGGACATGGACATGGACGTGGACCAGATGGACGTGGACATGGACGTGGACATGGACGTGGACATAGACATGGACGTGGACGTGGACTTGGACGTGGACATGGACGTGGACGTGGACGTGGAGGTGGACATGGACGTGGACATGGACGTGGACGTGGACGTGGACATGGACGTGGACATGGACGTGGACATGGACATGGACGTGGACGTGGACGTGGACGTGAACGTGGACATGGTCGTGGAAGTGGACGTGGACGTAGACATGGACGTGGACGTGGACGTGGACGTGGACATGACGTGGACATGGACGTGGACATGGACGTGGACGTGGACGTGGAGGTGGACATGGACGTGGACATGGACGTGGACGTGGACGTGGACATGGACGTGGACATGGACGTGGACATGGACATGGACGTGGACGTGGACGTGGACGTGGACGTGGACATGGTCGTGGACGTGGACGTGGACGTGGACATGGACGTGGACATGGACGTGGACATGGACGTGGACGTGGACGTGGACGTTGACGTGGACGTGGACGTGGACGTGGACATGGACGTGGACGTGGACGTGGACGTGGACGTGGACATGGACATGGACATGGACATGGACATGGACGTGGACGTGGACGTGGACGTGAACCTAGACGTGGACGTGGACATGGACATGGACGTGGACGTGGACGTGGACATGGACATGGACGTGGACGTGGACGTGGACGTGAACGTGGACGTGGTCATGGACGTCGACGTGGACGTGGACGTGGACGTGGACATGGACGTGGACGTGGACGTGGTCATGGACGTGGGCCAGGACGTGGACGTGGACGTGGACGTGGACGTGGAGGTGGACATGGTCGTGGACGTAGACGTGGACGTGGACGTGGACGAGGACGTGGACGTGGACGTGGTCATGGACGTGGACGTGGACGTGGATGTGGACGTGGACGTGGACGTGGACGTGGACGTGGACGTGGACATGGACGTGGACATGGACGTGGACGTGGACGTGGACATGGACTTGGATGTGGACGTGGATGGGGACGTGGACGTGGAGGACGTGGACGTGGACGTGGACGTGGACGTGGAGGACTTGGACGTGGACATGGACGTGGACGTGGACGTGGACGTGGACATGGACGTGGACGTCGACATGGACGTGGACATGGACGTGGACGTGGACGTGGACGTGGACGTGGACTTGGACGTGGACTTGGACATGGACCTGGACGTGGATGTGGACGTGGACGTGGACGTGGACATGGACGTGGACGTGGACGTGGACGTGGACATGGACATGGACGTGGACGTGGACATGGACGTGGAGGCGGACGTGGACGTGGAGGTGGACATGGATGTGGACATGGACGTGGACATGGACGTGGACGTGGACATGGACGTGGACGTGGACATGGACATGGACGTGGACATGGACGTGGACGTGGACATGGACGTGGACATGGACATGGACGTGGACCAGATGGACGTGGACATGGACGTGGACATGGACGTGGACATAGACATGGACGTGGACGTGGACTTGGACGTGGACATGGACGTGGACGTGGACGTGGAGGTGGACATGGACGTGGACGTGGACATGGACGTGGACGTGGACGTGGACATGGACGTGGACATGGACGTGGACATGGACATGGACGTGGACGTGGACGTGGACGTGAACGTGGACATGGTCGTGGACGTGGACGTGGACGTAGACATGGACGTGGACGTGGACGTGGACGTGGACATGACGTGGACATGGACGTGGACATGGACGTGGACGTGGACGTGGAGGTGGACATGGACGTGGACATGGACGTGGACGTGGACGTGGACATGGACGTGGACATGGACGTGGACATGGACATGGACGTGGACGTGGACGTGGACGTGGACGTGGACATGGTCGTGGACGTGGACGTGGACATGGACGTGGACATGGACGTGGACATGGACGTGGACGTGGACGTGGACGTTGACGTGGACGTGGACGTGGACGTGGACATGGACGTGGACGTGGACGTGGACGTGGACATGGACGTGGACATGGACGTGGACGTGGACGTGGACGTGGACGTGGACATGGACGTGGGCGTTGACGTGGACGTGGACGTGGACGTGGACGTGGACTTGGACGTGAACGTGGACGTGGACGTGGACGTGGACTTGGACGTGGACGTGGACGTGGACATGGACGTGGACGTGGACGTGGACGTTGACGTGGACGTGGACGTGGACGTGGACGTGGTCGTGGACGTGGACGTGGACGTGGATGGGACGTGGTCGTGACGTGGACGTGGTCATGGACGTGGACGTGGACGTGGACGTGGACGTGGACGTGGACATGGACCTGGACGTGGACGTGGACGTGGACGTGGACATGGACGTGGACATGGACGTGGACGTGGACGTGGACGTGGAGGTGGACATGGGCGTTGACGTGGACGTGGACGTCGGCGTTGACGTGGACGTGGACGTCGACGTGGACGTGGACATGGACGTGGATGTGGACGTGGACGTGGACGTGGACATGGTCGTGGACATGGACGTGGACATGGACGTGGACGTGGACGTGGACGTGGAGGTGGACATGGAGGTGGACATGGACGTGGACATGGACATGGACGTGGACATGGACGTGGACATGGACGTGGACGTGGAGGTGGACGTGGACATGGACGTGGACATGGACGTGGACATGGACGTGGACGTGGAGGTGGACGTGGACGTGGACGTGGACATGGACGTGGGCGTTGACGTGGACGTGGACGTCGACGTGGACGTGGACGTGGTCGTGGACGTGGACGTGGACGTGGACGTGGACCAGATGGATGTGGACATGGTCGTGGACGTGGACGTGGACGTGGACATGGTCGTGGACATGGACGTGGATATGGACGTGGACGTGGACGTGGACGTGGACATGGACGTGGACGAGGAGGTGGACGTGGACATGGACGTGGACGTGGACGTGGACATGGACATGGACGTGGACGTGGACGTGGACGTGGACGTGGACGTGGACGTGGACATGGACGTGGACGTGGACGTGGACATGGACGTGGACATGGACGTGGACATGGACGTGGACGTGGACGTGACGTGGACATGGTCGTGGACGTGGACGTGGACGTGGACATGGACGTGAACATGGACGTGGACATGGACGTGGACGTGGACGTGGACGTGGACGTGAACGTGGACGTGGACATGGACGTGGACGTGGACGTGGACGTGGACGTGGATATGGACGTGGACATGGACGTGGACGTGGACGTGGACGTGGACGTGGACATGGACGTGGGCGTTAACGTGGACGTGGACGTGGACGTGGACGTGGACGTGGACGTGGACATGGACGTGGACGTGGACGTGAACGTGGACGTTGACATGACGTGGACGTGGACGTGGACTTGGACGTGGATGTGGACGTGGACATGGACGTGGACGTGGACGTGGACGTGGACGTGGTCATGGACGTGGACGTGGACGTGGACGTGGACATGGACATGGACGTGGACGTGGATGGGACGTGGTCATGGACGTGGACGTGGACGTGAACGTGGACGTGGACGTGGACGTGGACATGGACCTGGACGTGGACGTGGACGTGGACGTGGACGTGGACGTGGACGTGGACATGGACGTGGACATGGACGTGACATGGACGTGGACGTGGAGGTGGACGTGGACGTGGAGGTGGACGTGGACGTGGACGTGGACGTGCACGTGGACGTTGACGTGGACGTGGACGTGGACATGGACGTGGACGTGGACGTGGACGTGGACATGGACGTGGACGTGGACCTGGACGTGGACGTGGACGTGGACGTGGACGAGGAAGTGGACTTGGGCGTGGACGTGGACGTGGACGTGGACGTGGACATGGACGTGGACGTGGACGTGGACATGGACGTGGACGTGGAGGACGTGGACGTGGACGGGGACGTGGACGTGAACGTGGACGTGGAGGACGTGGACGTGGACGTGGAGGACTTGGACGTGGACATGGACGTGGACGTGGACGTGGACATGGACGTGGACATGGACATGGACGTGGACATGGACGTGGACGTGGACGTGGACCTGGACGTGGACGTGGACGTGGACGTGGACCTGGACGTGGACGTGGACGTGGACGTGGACGTGGACGTGAACGTGGATGTGGATGTGGACGTGGACGTGGACGTGGACATGGACGTGGACCTGGACGTGGACGTGGACGTGGACGTGGACCTGGACGTGGACGTGGACGTGGACGTGAACGTGGATGTGGATGTGGACGTGGACGTGGACGTGGACCTGGACGTGGACGTGGACATGGACGTGGACCTGGACGTGGACGTGGACGTGGACGTGGACGTGGACGTGAACGTGGATGTGGATGTGGACGTGGACGTGGACCTGGACGTGGACGTGGACGTGGACGTGGACATGGTCGTGGACGTGGACGTGGACGTGGACATGGTCGTGGACATGGACGTGGATATGGACGTGGACGTGGACGTGGACGTGGACATGGACGTGGACGAGGAGGTGGACGTGGACATGGACGTGGAGGTGGACGTGGACATGGACATGGACGTGGACGTGGACGTGGACGTGGACGTGGACGTGGACATGGACGTGGACGTGGACGTGGACATGGACGTGGACATGGACGTGGACTTGGACGTGGACGTGGACGTGGACGTGGACATGGTCGTGGACGTGGACGTGGACGTGGACATGGACGTGAACATGGACGTGGACATGGACGTGGACGTGGACGTGGACGTGAACGTGGACGTGGACATGGACGTGGACGTGGACGTGGACGTGGACGTGGATATGGACGTGGACATGGACGTGGACGTGGACGTGGACGTGGACGTGGACGTGGACATGGACGTGGGCGTTAACGTGGACGTGGACGTGGACGTGGACGTGGACGTGGACATGGACGTGGACGTGGACGTGAACGTGGACGTTGACATGACGTGGACGTGGACGTGGACTTGGACGTGGATGTGGACGTAGACATGGACGTGGACGTGGACGTGGACGTGGACGTGGACGTGGTCATGGACGTGGACGTGGACGTGGACGTGGACATGGACATGGACGTGGACGTGGATGGGACGTGGTCATGGACGTGGACGTGGACGTGAACGTGGACGTGGATGTGGACGTGGACATGGACCTGGACGTGGACGTGGACGTGGACGTGGACGTGGACGTGGACATGGACGTGGACATGGACGTGACATGGACGTGGACGTGGAGGTGGACGTGGACGTGGAGGTGGACGTGGACGTGGACGTGGACGTGCACGTGGACGTTGACGTGGACGTGGACGTGGACATGGACGTGGACGTGGACGTGGACGTGGACATGGACGTGGACGTGGACCTGGACGTGGACGTGGACGTGGACGTGGACGAGGAAGTGGACTTGGGCGTGGACGTGGACGTGGACGTGGACATGGACGTGGACGTGGACGTGGACATGGACGTGGACGTGGAGGACGTGGACGTGGACGGGGACGTGGACGTGGAGGACGTGGACGTGGAGGACGTGGACGTGGACGTGGAGGACTTGGACGTGGACATGGACGTGGACGTGGACGTGGACATGGACGTGGACATGGACATGGACGTGGACATGGACGTGGACGTGGACGTGGACGTGGACGTGGACCTGGACGTGGACGTGGACGTGGACGTGGACCTGGACGTGGACGTGGACGTGGACGTGGACGTGGACGTGGATGTGGATGTGGACGTGGACGTGGACATGGACATGGACGTGGACGTGGATGTGGACGTTGAGGTGGACGTGGACGTGGAGGTGGACATGGACGTGGACATGGACGTGGACATGGACGTGGACGTGGACATGGACGTGGACGTGGACATGGACATGGACGTGGACGTGGACGTGAACGTGGACGTGGACGTGGACATGGACGTGGACGTGGACGTGGACGTGGACGTGGACGTGGAGGTGGACCTGGTGGTGGACGTGGACGTGGACGTGGACGTGCACGTGGACGTGGACGTGGACGTGGACGTGGACGTGGACGTGGACGTGGACATGGTCGTGGACGTGGACGTGGACGTGGACATGGACGTGAACATGGACGTGGACATGGACGTGGACGTGGACGTGGACGTGGACGTGAACGTGGACGTGGACATGGACGTGGACGTGGACGTGGACGTGGACGTGGACGTGGATATGGACGTGGACATGGACGTGGACGTGGACGTGGACGTGGACGTGGACATGGACGTGGGCGTTAACGTGGACGTGGACGTGGACGTGGACGTGGACGTGGACATGGACGTGGACGTGGACGTGAACGTGGACGTTGACATGACGTGGACGTGGACGTGGACTTGGACGTGGACGTGGACGTGGACATGGACGTGGACGTGGACGTGGACGTGGACGTGGACGTGGTCATGGACGTGGACGTGGACGTGGACGTGGACATGGACATGGACGTGGACGTGGATGGGACGTGGTCATGGACGTGGACGTGGACGTGAACGTGGACGTGGACGTGGACGTGGACGTGGACATGGACCTGGACGTGGACGTGGACGTGGACGTGGACGTGGACGTGGACATGGACGTGGACATGGACGTGACATGGACGTGGACGTGGAGGTGGACGTGGACGTGGAGGTGGACGTGGACGTGGACGTGGACGTGCACGTGGACGTTGACGTGGACGTGGACGTGGACATGGACGTGGATGTGGACGTGGACGTGGACATGGACGTGGACGTGGACCTGGACGTGGACGTGGACGTGGACGTGGACGAGGAAGTGGACTTGGGCGTGGACGTGGACGTGGACGTGGACGTGGACGTGGACATGGACGTGGACGTGGACGTGGACATGGACGTGGACGTGGAGGACGTGGACGTGGACGGGGACGTGGACGTGGAGGACGTGGACGTGGAGGACGTGGACGTGGACGTGGAGGACTTGGACGTGGACATGGACGTGGACGTGGACGTGGACATGGACGTGGACATGGACATGGACGTGGACATGGACGTGGACGTGGACGTGGACGTGGACCTGGACGTGGACGTGGACGTGGACCTGGACGTGGACGTGGACGTGGACGTGGACGTGAACGTGGATGTGGATGTGGACGTGGACGTGGACATGGACATGGACGTGGACGTGGATGTGGACGTTGAGGTGGACGTGGACGTGGAGGTGGACATGGACGTGGACATGGACGTGGACATGGACGTGGACGTGGACATGGACGTGGACGTGGACATGGTCATGGACGTGGACGTGGACGTGAACGTGGACGTGGACGTGGACATGGACGTGGACGTGGACGTGGACGTGGACGTGGAGGTGGACCTGGTGGTGGACGTGGACGTGGACGTGGACGTGCACGTGGACGTGGACGTGGACGTGGACGTGGACGTGGTCATGGACGTGGACGTGGACGTGGACGTGGACGTGGACGTGGACGTGGACGTTGACGTGGACGTGGACATGGACGTGGACATGGACGTGGACGTGGACGTGGACATGGACGTGGACGTGGACGTGGATGGGGACGTGGACGTGGAGGACGTGGACGTGGACGTGGACGTGGACGTGGAGGACGTGGACGTTGACGTGGACGTGGACGTGGAGGACTTGGACGTGGACATGGACGTGGACGTGGACGTGGACATGGACGTGGACGTGGACGTGGAGGTGGACATGGACGTGGACATGGACGTGGACATGGACGTGGACGTGGACGTGGACATGGACGTGGACATGGACCTGGACATGGACATGGACGTGGACGTGGACGTGGACGTGGACGTGGACGTGGACGTGGACGTGGACATGGACGTGGACATGGACGTGGAGGTGGACATGGACGTGGACGTGACGTGGACGTGACGTGGACGTGGACGTGGACGTGGACCTGGACGTGGACGTGGACGTGGACGTGGACGTGGGCGTTGACGTGGGCGTGGACGTGGACGTGGACGTGGACGTGGACGTGGACGTGGACATGGACGTGGACGTGGACGTGGACGTGAACGTGGAGGTGGACGTGGACATGGACCTGGACGTGGACGTGGACTTGGACGTGGACATGGACGTGGACATGGACGTGGACGTGGACGTGGACGTGGACGTGGACGTGGACGTGGACATGGTCGTGGACGTGGACGTGGACGTGGACGTGCACGTGGACGTGCACGTGGACGTGGACGTGGACATGGACGTGGACGTGGACGTGGACGTGGACGTGGACGTGGACGAGGAAGTGGACGTGGACGTGGACGTGGACGTGGACATGGACGTGGACGTGGACGTGGACATGGACGTGGACGTGGAGGACGTGGACGTGGACTGGGACGTGGACGTGGAGGACGTGGACGTGGAGGACGTGGACATGGACGTGGAGGACTTGGACGTGGACATGGACGTGGACGTGGACGTGGACATGGACGTGGACAGGGACATGGAGGTGGACATGGACGTGGACGTGGACGTGGACGTGGACGTGGACCTGGACGTGGACGTGGACATGGACGTGGACCTGGACGTGGACGTGGACGTGGACGTGGATGTGTACGTGGACGTGGACGTGGACATGGACGTGGAGGTGGACGTGGACGTGGAGGTGGACATGGACGTGGACATGGACGTGGACATGGACGTGGACGTGGACATGGACATGGACGTGGACGTGGACATGGACGTGGACATGGACGTGGACATGGACGTGGACATGGACATGGACATAGACGTGGACGTGGACTTGGACGTTGACATGGACGTGGACATGGACGTGGACATGGACGTGGACGTGGACATGGACGTGGAGGTGGACATGGACGTGGACGTGGACGTGGACGTGGACATGGACGTGGACATGGACGTGGACATGGACATGGACGTGGACGTGGACGTGGACGTGGACATGGTCGTGGACGTGGACGTGGACGTGGACGTGGACGTGGACATGGACGTGGAGATGGACGTGGACATGGACTTGGACATGGACGTGGACGTGGACTTGGACGTGGACCAGATGGACGTGGACATGGACGTGGACATGGACGTGGACATAGACATGGATGCGGACGTGGACTTGGACGTGGACATGGACGTGGACGTGGACGTGGAGGTGGACATGGACGTGGACATGGACGTGGACGTTGACGTGGACGTGGACCTGGACGTGGACGTGGACGTGGACGTGGACCTGGACGTGGACATGGACGTGGACGTGGACATGGACGTGGACGTGGACGTGGACGTGGACATGGACGTGGACATGGACGTGGACATGGACGTGGACGTGGACATTGACGTGGACGTGGACATGGACGTGGACGTGGACGTGGACGTGGACGTGGACCTGGACGTGGACGTGGACGTGGACGTGGACGTGGGCGTTGACGTGGGCATGGACGTGGACGTGGACGTGGACGTGGACGTGGACGTGGACATGGACGTGGACGTGGACGTGGACGTGGACGTGGACATGGACGTGGACGTGGACATGGACGTGGACGTGGACGTGGACGTGAACGTGGACGTGGACGTGGACGTGGACCGTGGACCTGCTCGTGGACGTGGACGTGGACGTGGACGTGGACGTGGACGTGGACCGTGGACGTGCACGTGGACGTGGACGTGGACGTGGACATGGACGTGGACGTGGACGTGGACGTGGACATGGACATGGACGTGGACGTGGACGAGGAAGTGGACGTGGACGTGGACGTGGATGTGGACGTGGACGTGGACATGGACGTGGACTTGGACATGGACGTGGACGTGGACGTGGACATGGACGTGGACGTGGAGGACGTGGACGTGGACGGGGACGTGGACGTGGAGGACGTGGACGTGGAGGACGTGGACGTGGACGTGGAGGACTTGGACATGGACATGGACGTGGACGTGGACGTGGACATGGACGTGGACAGGGACATGGAGGTGGACATGGACGTGGACGTGGACGTGGACGTGGACGTGGACGTGGACCTGGACGTGGACGTGGACGTGGACGTGGACGTGGACGTGGACGTGGATGTGGACGTGGACGTGGACATGGACATGGACGTGGACATGGACATGGACATAGACGTGGACGTGGACTTGGACGTGGACATGGACGTGGACATGGACGTGGACATGGACGTGGACATGGACGTGGACGTGGAGGTGGACATGGACGTGGACGTGGACGTGGACGTGAATGTGGACATGGACGTGGACATGGACGTGGACATGGACATGGACGTGGACGTGGACATGATCGTGGACGTGGACGTGGACGTGGACGTGGACATGGACGTGGACATGGACGTGGACATGGACTTGGACATGGACGTGGACGTGGACTTGGACGTGGACCAGATGGACGTGGACATGGACGTGGACATGGACGTGGACATAGACATGGACGTGGACGTGGACTTGGACATGGACATGGACGTGGACTTGGACGTGGAGGTGGACATGGACGTGGACATGGACGTGGACGTGGACGAGTGGACGTGGACGTGGACGTGGACGTGGACGTGGACATGGACGTGGACATGGAA